ATCAGTAGGAAGTAGGCTTCATAATTGAAAAACAGCATGAAATTTTTCATCATTTCAAAAAGGTTTGCTCATCACCGAATTGAAGAAACTATATTATTCTCTTGTTGAAAGACATTTGTGATAAGCTATTACGTTTCAATAAAACGCATCTAGGATATATGTGAATCCTTTGGAAATGATCCAAAAAATATTCATTCTGCTGATTCTTCACCAATCCCTTAGATTTTTTCCGATAACCTGTATAGAGATTATGATTTTTTAAATATTGGACAGCTATATTATTCGTGTGTGAACATCAGATTCCATTTCTGTAACTCCAGCTAAGTCAATACACGAAATCGAAATGTACTCACCTATCCGTAGATTTAAAAAAAAACAATTTCTCAATGAGCCCCTTCACATGTCTCGTTGAAACTTTATAATTCGATACCGGAAACAATGAAAAATAATGAGCATTTTTTCAAAAATAAGCTGAGGTTACATATACTAGAACATGCCATTTATTTCCAACAATTTTTGTACTGAGACTTCAAACACTCACCTGAACTTGATTATATGTTTATATTTCTATATTTTGAAAATTCATTATAATTTTTATAGACTATTCAATTTCATGTATGTGTGTTGTTATAACGAAACAAGTTCTTGGGTACTTATCGTTTACTCCTTTATTCATGCACTACTCACTTCAAAATGTATTTTGTATTATCTACAGCTGTCTGTTGAGTGGATGAAGTTATTTTCATCATGATTATTATTTTACTTCAACCAAAACTTTTTGCTCATTTTTGAACGCGAATGAGGCCTCACGGCACGAGGCCTAGAGCGGCGCTCCATGCTCAATACGGCTCTGTCTTCAATAACTCCTCCCGCCATTTTCCAGATATTCGAAAAACCGTTCCTAATTGAGATTTTGTGAAACAAGAGGCTCAGTTACTTCATTATTCTCTATACAACAACAAATATTCACGTTATGGGAATACGACCTCTTGCAATGTATACTGTAATTTGAATTTCCACAAACACAATTTCACACATTTTGCGCCCCATCCACCTCATCACTAAGTTCAAGTGTATGTGAAAACTATGGCTTGACTGGTTTCATTTTGTGTTGGAACAACAATATATATTTTTCCTCATGCAAATCTAATTCGTTCAACTTATTTCATTCACTAATATCAGCATTTCCATTTGGCCTACCTTATTTGTAATTCACAGAACCAATTTCCCTCTGAAGCTTTAAGTTGAAATGAAAAACTGTGTCAAAGTCTTGGAAGAGTAGAAGGATTGAAGTTCTTTCTTTTCAATACTTTCACCCATTTTTTGTCATCATTTTATTCTTTGGGAACCTAAACTCATTATATGAAGTAACTCACTTATAAACCAATGCACTTTATGTTTTCTTGTGTGTTTCCGCACAAATAAAATCAGCACAAGAATGCACCATATTAATATTCAAATATTTCTCTAAAACACTTTTAAATCATATACAAAGTAAACTCGATGAAAAAACGAATTGTTCCTACGCGAGCTGTCAGCTAAGAAAGAGTTGAAACTCAATGTTGCAAAAACAAGCAGAATGGATCCGATATGACATACATTTTCAATGTCGAATAAACCAGTGAATTGTAATATAAGTATTCCATTTTCCTGAGAAAAAGAACGATCAATTGAAATTTTCTGTAATTATTCATTAATTTTTTTCAAGAATAAAGCCAGCAAACAAATAAATATACAATAATAAGATCGCTCGAATCCACGAATTGAGCATAAAAATGGAAACTAATGTTTTCCTTGATAACTGATATAGTACAAGTTATATCTAAATATGATTCTATATAGAATCAAACGAGCTGTATTTTCAAATGGTGTTCCAATGCATATGAACCCCAATAAATAAATCAATTATGCATTCATGCCACCCACCAAAAATAAGAAATTCAATGTTACTGCTATAATAGCCATATGATTCAGTTGACGGAGAATCTTTGTTGACTAGTTGGGATCAAAACCTAGAAATTTTTTTGGTTGAACAGCAGAAGAAACTGTACTCTATTTGATGCAAGTGTTATGATAGACAACTGCTGTCACAGTGTGATGATAGACAACTGTTGTTACAGTGTGGTTCCTAATGAGAAAATACTTTTCATCAGTTCGGACTTCCATTGTCTAATATAAATTGATTTGAAATCCCTGAAGAAAGCTGTAAAAAAATCAAAAAGATTAGCTGAAAAAACAATTTCATCAAGCAAAAAACTGAAATTACAATTAGATAACATACAAGAAACAACCAAAAAACCAAAAAAAAATTAATATTAACAGGAGCTGGAAAATTGAAGAAAAAATTATCAACAAGTAATGAAAATTGAAAATATAAAATCAAAAGATTCCAAACCAAGATATTTCACGACGTTTCGATTGTTAGTATCCACAATCGTCTTCGGGTGATAACTAGATGATAATTTTCCAGCCCGTGTTAATATTCCTTTTTTTTTGGTTGTTGCTTGCGTGTTATTACATTGTTATTTCAGTTTTCTGCTTAATAAAATTGTTTTTTCAGCTAATCTTTTTGATTTTTTTATAGATTCTTTCAGGGATTTCAAATCAATTCATATCATATTAGACAATGAAACTCCGAACTGATGAAATGCACCACGAAATATTGTCAACCACCTTCAGAGAAAATACTATTAATAATTAAAATCAAGATAAATTATTTTTGTGTGGACACAATTCTAGGTATGCAAAAAATCGATATAAACTTCATAAATTGAAGTTTTCAAAACACTGTATTCACCAATCAGATACAATATTATTTATTTTCATCTAATATTCGAAAGAAGAAGGAGAAACAATTAACTGATTGATGTGGTGAAATTCCATAAATGGTAGTACTCTGAAATATTATGTATATTTCCATATACCTCGAGCAAAAACCATAGATTTTGCTGATGTGGTTTAATTGAATTATGATCAATTTCATGTTCTTCTTTGAGTGATCTTGAAGTTTGACCAACATATCCACAACTACAATTATTGCATGGAATTGAATAAACGACAGTTCAAATCATCTAAAAGAACATTTTTTTTTTCTTTCCTTATACGAGGAATTGGGCAAATTTCGGATATGCAGTTGGTTACCTCGTTCACAGGCAGATGGGGCGACGACAAACCTGCTGTTTGTTGTAGTCTTCAGCTTAGTTTGAGGAATGATTTTCTGACGAAATTCGATTTTCAATTATCGGAAATCATCGACTTTTATGTTGATGATATACACTACCTTGCACTGACGAGTGGCCAAACAGCCCCAAACCGGTCTGCAAGTGTGTTCCAATAATTGAAAATCTATTGCGGCAGTTGTATCGCCAACAGAATATGCAGTAATAACTTCAGTGAACAATCCTGCACTGACACCTGTCGGATATAATCCAACGCCCTCCATGGTATTAGCCAGGGGAGTAGTTGTTTTCTGATAGGTGTCAGTCCATTAACCTACTGTGTAGGGTGTTGACACTGGCCTGAACTAGATGATTTGATTTATAGCCAGTCTTCAAGTATGCCCACTGACTATACGTGAAAAAAAACGACAGTTCAATGACTGGAATCATATGCACTAGCAGATTCATCGAACACGAAGCTTTGTGGTGAAACTTTCATTTCTTATCACGCGATGATGAGGTGAGAAATATTGTTTACTATTTACTTTCAAAAAAGTCACCTTCAGTGCTCACAATGCTATTTTTTGATTTTATTGGAGAACAAAATTCCTCTCAATTGAATTCAATGCATAATGATTGCATGTAAAAGTTTCATTTCGTATTTTTCATAGAATAGTGGTTGATTTTTTTTTCGCAAGATACAAATGACCTTCTAAAATAACATCTCAAAATCAACTAGTAGAAATATCAATGTTATGATAAACATTGAATGTATTTCCAAACTAGAAATATCAAAAGTGTACGTCATGACCAGAAACATTGAAAATGATCATAAATGACTTCTATTCTATGTTCTTCTATATTCTATTGATATATGAACAATAATCATGACCCACATTTCCAGTTCACAATCGATTTTGTATTTCTCAATACAAAATCGATAAGGAGGTCTAATTACTTCGTAGTACACTAAAACCGACTCGTCCGGTAGATTTTTGCATTATTGACCATTTCATGACCACAAACAGAAAGTCTTGGTCTCAGGAATGAAAAACAGAGTTTTCCTCTACGGTCTCTCAACCTCCAAATTCATTGATCAAAATTGGCTATTTTCCTAGACTAGTCAACAGTTTAGTTTCTAGTTGTTCTCACACACTTACTGAGCAGAGAGAATTGGACGCTTATCTCCCCATAAATAATGTTATAACCTCATTCTACATAATAATATTTCATCACATAAATTCAAAATAAAATCCAAACCTTTTCAATTCATGAACAGGTGGAAATGAAGTCGAACCTTTGAGATGGAGCACATGTTTTAATAACTTCTTCTACACGTCGCTCTGGATCTAATGCTATTGCTCATATTTTTAGGACCTCAATGTTTTTTCAACACTGTTGAAATGTTTTGAAACTGTTGAATAATTATTCGTGTTATTGGCCTCACTATCAGACCCTCTACATTTATTATATTATGTTTTTGTCTTTTACAGAAAAAAGAACAACTAGAAAAGTAACTAGAGATTTGACTATGAACTATATCATGATTTAAGATTCATTAATTTCAGTTACTTTTGAAAAAAAAACCCAATTGAACTATTATCAAACAAATTGACAAGGTTTAATCAAACTGATACATTGTAACAAAATACATATCTCATAAGATGATATTTGCAACCAGATGCATATCTCTTATTATTCAACAAAATGAAATGTTTGCATTGCAAGGGGTGTATTAGAAAATGTCATTTGTTTGAAAATCTAATCGATGTTGAATAGTACATCAGAATTTACTCACATACTTCAATCTTTGAAAACTATCAAATATTTTGTTCATTTCAGAATGAACAGTATGGTTTCCGAAACTGACATGGAAGAGTCAAAGTGTATGAAAGGAGATCTCGAAGTGGGTTATCCGCTTCTTGGAGGCGATTCTGAAGGTAACGTTATTCCATTTTTTTAAACGAACATCATTTTATCTGTGTGTATTTCCTCGAAATTAAATATTTCAAATTTCATGACGTTAAAAAATGATATACTACCTGAAAAAGGGTATATCAGGAATGATCCTAATTATGTTTCTAATTCGTAGTCAATGCATGAATCTGTACAAAAAGTATTGAGAATTTTAGGGGGACAAGTAATATTTTTGTGATCCCATACCTTATTTGCCTTGTTACAAATAAGAAAAGATGATGAAACATGGATCATGGAATGTTTCACTTCAAGAACCATAAAATTGACTCCGTGTTGACTTTTTTGTGTATGTTCTAGGACACAAAGAAATATATGATTACTCAAAACTTCCGGAGGTGGAATAGCTCTCTAATGTGGGTAAAAGTTGATCAGAAGTATTGTCCCACATGCAGAAGTCACTTCAAAATCACCATTTTTCGGCAGCAAGAAGAGTTTATTGAGCAAAATCAAACAAAGGAATACCATGATACTTATAGAAAGCAAAGTCAGTGTTGTAAATACTACCACCAATTTTTCATATTTCCGCTTTAACTTTCTATCTCAACTCTTCAACGACTTTGAAATGGTTCTGTCCCGAGTGACTTTTTTTCGCCAACTGAAAAAAATCGTATGATTATCGACATCATGTTTCATAGGATGACAACCAGATTCATGAGAAACGTTTTTCGAAGCTACGCAATACTGAACATAATTCTCTTCACCAACACCTTCAATTTTTTGCACGTCAATCATCCTGGTGAGACAGCCTAACTGGCTGTATCATAAATGAGCCATGGATTATGAAAGAAATGTAGATTCCTGGAGTTGATAGGTATAATTTGGAAGCACTAGCATGAAATGAATATAGTAAAAACACTTTGCAAACACCAGTATTTTTGTGAATCAATTTCAAACCACGAATAACGAATTTTACCTAATCTTCATCAAAACCTCATTGGGACAATAATACGTAGGTATTTCATTTTTGGGTGAATTTACGATTTAGGTTGATGAATACTAAAGAACAACCTAAACTAGCCGTCTACAGGTCAGCTGTATGTTTTTACCTTCCAGACCATTCTCAAACTTTTCTCTGGCTGGGCATATATTTCAAATCCGCTGCTGAAGCTGATTTCTATCAAGTATAAGAATATATACGTCAGTTTCAGTATATTCTAACTCCAAAAATTCTGTCAGATCTTATATAGCCCACCCCATTAGAAGCAAATTAAAACAAGATGAAATCAAATAATTGCACAATACAAGAATGGAACTACTTTCCAATTCTAAAGATTCTGAATATTTCTAGATGAGATTAGATCTCTAATTTGATTTATTTCAATTTTGTTCTTAGTAAAGTAAACACTCAAGTTTCCTTGGTCACAGTCGAAGTCGTCAGGAATATAGTCACAACTTTGCAAGAAAAAGTCGAAAAAGTTTTAGTCGAACGTTCGCTGACATCTCAACTTTAGGGTATCAAAAAATTAAGTTTTTTACAATTTGTTTCCATCTATAGCACAATGACCTGACATTTGTACTAGTTTGATTTTGTATGTTAGTTATCATAAAAAGAAATTAATTGTCACTTCAAAATAAATACTTGCGCTTATGTCAATTATATCAGCGAATAACCGTTAATAAATATTTATATACGAGTACGGAATATCTTGAAATGAGTTTGTTATAGATAAGAAAATCAAAGAGAATTGCGACAAATAAGTCGAAAGTTCCTCATATCAAGATAGTGACAAGTCTATACTCGTGAATACCATAAAAAGTGCAGATAATTCGCAAGATCTTATCTCAAGAAATGTTTTTTCTTTCAATTCATTTACCAGGTTGCAGTCAGATTAGTAGGGCTGTTACAAAAAAGACTCTTCGTTATCTGTCTAGATTTCGGTAAATATATTACCCTCGTCAGAACAAATAAAATAGTCCCGCAGATGTTTCTTGTTCTCCTCTGTGGGGAGAATGTTAATATCAATATCAAATATCCAATATCCATGTTGCATTATGAGGGGTTATGTACTTCAACATATATAAATGTGCTAGCTTTTTGTATCTTCCACTGGCATTTTGGCAGTAATCCACAGGAAACATAAGCGAAAGTTCTGATCGCTCTCTGGTAAAAACTCTGAAGATCTTTCCTTATTCTCTTCGAAAGTTCCAGGCGTTTGAAAAACTTCAGTAACGGTTTTGTAAAAGTATAGTTTTTCCAATTACCAGGAATCTAATTTGCATGTTTAACAATTTCAAAAACAGAGTGACCAGTTTTAAGTAAGTATACATTTTGATAACCATAAAAATTGTACGATCATTTTCCTAGAAGAGTCCAGAAGAAGAAACTATCCGTTTAACTCCGGTTCTCTCAGTTCAATGGAAATTGTCAAACGAGTATCTACTGTTCGTACAGCGATTACTGCAAACCCCAACAATAATACGATTTATCGGCAAATATTATTATTCGTAATATTATTTCTCACATAACATCAAGTATCAAATCTGGTAGGTTTTTTCGAGATTCCAGCACTACGCGTTTTCATAACGGAATCGGGTACTCTGCTTTTTGACACTCCCGATTCGCCCGAATGCACTTGCGGAACCCTATCGTAATCGGATACTCTGTTTTTGAATTCACTATCATCATCTTGAACTGGAAGACATGGCGACTGTGATTCTTTTGCAACATATTCCGATGGTGATTTCACCGAAACATCCGGATCCAAGCATTCAAAAGGATACAGCTTCTTTAATGGTCGAAGAAGTTGACCATTCTTAGTTTGAACCCGAACCAGGCGAACTACACCATCTTTTCCAGGTAAAAGTTCAATAACTCGACCCATTGACCACTCAATGCGCTTCTGATTGTCGTTACCAACCAGAACAATCTCACCAAGGAAGACACTTCGTGATATTTTATTTGATGCAATTTTCAGCGTTCCCAAATATTCATTTCTAAAACGTCGACGCAGATCATCTCTCAATTTCTGTTTGTGTCTCATTTAACGACAGAGAGAATTTCTGTCTATTTGATCACAATCAGGCATACCATACTCATAACTGAGATCATTTAAAAACATAGCAGGAGTCAAGGCAACTAGATCTGCTGGATCGTTAGATACATAAGTAATTGGTCTACAGCTTCACACTCGCAAACCAAAGTTTAAAATCTTCATAGTCCAGGGAAGCCCGACCTAACACTTTTCGGAGAAGAGTCTTCACAACACCAACTAAACGTTCACAGAACCCACCCCACCATGCGGCTGTCAGAGGGTTGAAACGCCAAGAAATGCGCTGCAACAAACACTGATCCGATATTTTAGACCAGACAAAGTTTTCCAAAATCATTATCTAGACCAACGAAACATCTACCGCTGTCAACATAAATTTTCTTAGGCAGACCTCTGCGAGCAACAAATCGTTAGATGACAACGAAATAGGTAATTCGAGATGTACCGCACGATATACGGCACAAGTGAATAGACAAATGTAAGCTTCGAAAACAGACGAATATCAAAAATCAGAGCAATCATTATCAAAAAGACTAGTGATCAACTTTTTCTTACGCTCACTGTAGACTTCTTCTTCATTGCAGTTAAAAGTGACACTTGGCCACTTATCTGGCATTTCATAGAGCCATGCTGGCCCCTCCCACCATCTCGATGGGAGTAAAATTTTTGATCATCAATCACGTGATGGAAGGTCTGCAGGATTGTGAATCCCTGGAATATGTCTTCGTGCATCTGAAGAAGTTAAATTACGCAATTCTATCCCACCCGAATGTGGCCCATTCTTCTTTTCTTTGTATCCAGGAAATTACCGTAGACGAATCACTTCAGAAATAGCTCGTTATTTGTTTGAATTTAAAATTATCTATGACATTCCTGAACAATCTTGCGCCAATTATCGCTGCAAGTAACTCTAGCCTTACAATTGTCAAAATTTTTCCTTTCTTCTATATAGGAGCCAATCTAGACTTGGCTGCTAGGAGTTGGACAGATAATTGTTGATTCTTACCAAAACGTAGAAATATAACTGAAAAGTAGGCTGTGTTACTGGCATCACAAAACGTATGAATAGAGCAAACGAAATTAGAAGTTGAATTAATATCTACCCATCTAAGTATTGGTATTTCTAATAGACTAGGCAGTTCATGAAACCAATTTCTAAATCAAACAGACGTCTTCATCTACACAAAGCATATAGGATCAAAGACACGTTGATCCATTGACAAAATCATTCTTTTGGTAATGTATTCTACTTGTGAGATCACTTCTTCAGGCAGCTTGGATTAATATTCAGAGTATCTCGTACTGGATCCCACATCAATCCCAATACTGGCAAAGGTACTACATCTGCATTGTTGTAGTTAATGTCTTTTTCTAGTTAACTCCCACNTGAATTTAAACTAACCAAGTTTGCGGCGGTGGGTAGCGGTACTACCGGTGAACTCACATTTTTCTTAGCCGAAGAGTTCGAAACAGTTCTCGATAAATTAGCACTGGCGTTACCTTGACTGACAAAACCAAAACCCTCTGAAGCCAATGTAATACGCTGCTCGTTTTCAACTTCGGTTTTCAGTAACTTCATGAGGTTTTTAAGACAAGTTTCTAACTTATTCGGACCTGACTCCCTTGAGACATTTGTAGCACTCCCTGAATTTTCAGGTTCAAATCTATGCGGGGAACGTTGCCATGCTCTCAATAAATCTTGAGGGAGACATGACTCAATGAGAGAAAAAAACATCGCAGCATCGCAGAACAATTATCTGATGTAATGCCTTAGGTATCTAACGCTAGAATCTGTGTCTCAATCTGGTCATACAAAATTACCAATTCAAGCTTAGATTTGGATGTAGCATTACACAAAACCAACTTAGGCAATTCTCTGACGTAGACCTCAATTTGAAGATCTTCTCTGCCAAAACGAGATAATGGCTTCGATAATATGATGATAATTTTCTTCAATAGCTGGATAACTCTCT